ATTCCTGTTTCTCCGCATATCTTGCATTTTTTGTTCAGATAATAATCTTTAGTAACTCTAAGTACTGGTCCTCTCCTTCTGGAGTTTATTATTGTGGTTATTTACTTATTTGTTTAGTGACTGCCTAGATTATTTTGCTGAGGTGTATTTCCTCCCTGCTATGTGAATCCTATGTTGTTCCTCGGAGGGCACAGCATTGGGTATACACACAGTCTTTCTCAGATGACAGTGGTTTTGGCAGTCCTCTCTTTACTGTCTCCTTCCCAGAATACACTTGGCTGTTAAACTCCACTAATAAGCTGATTAATGGTTTTACTGTTTTTGACAATGCACTGGGGCATACATTGCTTCACAGATTAATGGAATTAAATTTGGCTCATTTTCAGAGAGAGTTTTTGAGGGAGAGAAGGGTGAATAAATAGGGCAATCATGGAGGATGTGTTCTGGAGAAAGACAGGCATTCTCCAATGTTCTGATCAGGTCTTCATTTTAGGCAAGCACTATGAGTCTGAGTTTTGGTTGTGTACATGTGTTTATGCCTTTCCTCCAGCTATAGTGTTGAGCCTAGCACACATGCCTGTCCCCTCCCCTCAAAGAGCTTTTTGTTCTTCTGCTTCCTTTTCTTAGCTGCATTGGCTTTCTACAACTGCCTTCAGAATATGGGCTTTGTTGTCCTTTTTCCTGCAGATTAAGTATTTTGCTTACTAGGGGAAGCAGATCTGGTTGGAATTTCAACAGTGACTGCTATCTCCTCTTAACTGGTAGATGGGGCAAGTTTTCTCATGCATGCATGGGAACACCTAGTGGTGTTTCTGGAGTAAAGCCTGCAGGAAGAGTGCATGCAAGCCCTTTTATGTCTGTGGCCCTCAGGGACTTCAAACTCTCATGGAGCCCTCACTCAGTCTTTAGGAATTCATTAGAAATTTTAGCTAAATTTCTTATTGTCCTGAACATGGTGTTTGTTGGTTTCTATCCCGAATAAACAAATGTTTGGGTACTATTTCTCCTTCCATGAATTGCTCTCTAGATTCTGATAAAACTGTTTGCCCTGTGGCCTTAGTTCTCTGATGGTTTTAATAATTTTTTTTGTTTTGCAGTTTATCCAACTTTTTTTTTTTTTCTTCTGTAAGTGAGTGGCATTCTTTTCAGCTTTCCATTTGGAGCTGAAATAAAAAGAAAGTGTCTTGCTCATTTTACAACTTAAATATAACATTTGATTTAAATTCTCTTTGGTTCCCATAAGCAGTACAAATTATTTTGCTCTAGTGTTTTGGACAGGAAGTTGGGTGCTATTCTCAGAAACATTTCTCTCTGTATCTCAGAAGCATTTCTTGTGTTTGGGAGGATAGTGAAGGAGAAGCAAAGTAGATATCTCTTATTATATGGCTGTCCTTAGGTTCAATACTTTCATTGTCAGTCATAAAGCTTTGCATTTTTTCTAGTCTTTTCCCCCTTTGGTATATGAAAGAGAACTTTGTAGTTAAGCTGTCATTGGTATAAAATGCCTTTTTAAGGCATTAATGGTGGAGGAAGCAATGCCATTGTGAACCTTCTCTTTAAGTCTGTCATCTGAAGAATTATCACCACTATTCTGACATCCTAAAGGATTGATTGGGCAAGAGGTAAAAATAAAATTCAAATCCTTGGATTTAGGAAATCATACTAGTTAAGGATTATCAGTTTAGAGCCAAATTAACTGAGGTTCTAATGTAGTCTTTTCCCCTTACTGGTATGTCACCTTGCATAAATTATATGCACTCTTTGAGCATCAGGTCAGTCACCTATATAAAGAGCATAATAACACTGCTTTCAGAATCATTTGTCAGAATTAAAAGAGATAGAAATATGAAAAAAATGGACTGTGAACATTGGTGATTTAGATCACTTCTAGACCAGAGTGTAGAAAAACGAGTATGAGATCTCCATGTATTCTTTTTCTCTGCTGTGGTGGTTTCATGATTAGTCTGAATCTCTGGGAAACTAGGGGGAGAAGAACCTCTCCATTCCTAACCATCATGAAGTTTGAGAAATAAACCTTTGTTGTGTTAAGCCACTGATGTTTTGGGGTTAGTAGTTATCCTGGCATATGCTTAGCCTAACTTGACAAATGCACCCAAAGGTCCTCAGAGTTAAGCAACAAAATCACTAGGATTCTTGTTGAAATATATATTGTATGTGATAAAACTATAGTAGGGGTAGATAGTGGAGATTATGATGGCAAGAGGGAACTACTCAATTATGTCAGAAAGTAAATAGATAGTGACTGAAGTAAACAAGTAAAAAAAATAGCAGTTGCAAGTTGTACATCTGATAAAGGACTTGTGTTGAGAATAAGCAAAGAAGTCTTACAACTCAACAATAACAAGATAACCAACTCAATTTTAAAATCAGTAAAGGATTTGAATAGACATTTTTCCAATGAAGATATACAGGTGGCCAATATGCACATAAAGAGATGTTCAACATCATTAGCCACTAGGGAAATATAAATCAAAACCATAATGGGATTCAATTTCATACCCACTAAGATGGCTATAACAGAAATTACAGGCAATGACAAGTGTTGGTGAGGATGTGGAGAAATTGGAAACTTTACACTACTGAGTGGATTGTCAAATGCTACAGTTGCTTTTAGAAAACAGTTTGGCAGTTCCTCAAAAAGTTAAACATACAGTCACCACATGACCTACCAATTCCATATATATATTAGTGTTAAGAGAATAAATCCTACAAATTCTCATCACATGGAGAAAAAAAATTTTGTCTTTCTTTTTACTGTATCTGCATGAGGTGATGGATGTGAATTAAACTTATTGTGGTAATCATTTCACAGTATATGCAAGTTTAACCATTGTGCTGTGCACCTTAAAATTATATAGTGATGTATGTCAATTATATGTCAATAAAACTGGAAACAAAATTTTGTTTAAAAATTATTTTTGCTTCTTCCAATAGAAATTATTAATTAGAGCGTCAAATACTATGCACTTGTGTTTTAAATTTAGAGTCCATCTTCATTAGCATGTTCTGAGATTATCTACATAATAAACTAAGACAGAACCATCATCTCTGTACTTGTAAATTTTATATTTTGACTTAATAGTTTATTTTTAAAAGGCAAAAAACAAACATGTACATGAATGTTTCAGTACTGATACCTGCTACAACATGGATAAACCTTGAAAACATTATGCTATGTGAAAGAAGTCCAATACAAGAGGCCGTATATTATATGATTCCTTTTATGTGAAATGTCTAGAATAAGCAAATCCATAGAGACAGAAAATAGATCAGTGTTTGCCAGATGCTTGGGAGAAGAGAGAATGCAAACACCAGTATGTGCTAATGGGCATGAGGTTTCTTTTTAGGGTGCTGAAAATGTCCTAGAACTAGATAATTGTGATGGTTTCAGAACTCTGTTAATATACTAAAAAACACTGAATTGTATTCTTTGAGAGTGTACAGTTTTGAGGGTGAATTTTGTGGTGTGTGAATTATACTTCGATGAAGCTGTTTGAAAAAGAAATAACAGCCTAAGCCTATAATTCAGAAATACAAAGGCAAATATAATATTTTCAAAACATTTATGGTAGTTGTCTCTGGAGAGTGGGAATGTGGAATGGCAAGGCAGACCACAATTTTTAATAATAAATTCTTTTGCACTGTTGGATTTAAAATTTTTATACATGTATCCATTTGGCAAAAAGTAAAATGAGCTAAAAACAAAGGATACACACAGGTATTGTGAAGACAGGTCAAAAGAGATTCTGATACATTGGATCTGAGGTGGGAGCCAGGATTCTCCGTTTTCAAGATGTGATTTGGGTGCAAGTGATCTGCTAGTAGCTAGAAAACTTGAAAAAATACTGCCATACCCAATGTTAAAATTGTTTAGCAATGAATCTTGATATAATCTCCTGCTGTGTTCCTTTTGGAGTGGCAAGTTTCAGTAGCTAAAGAATGAAAGTACATGCTTAAGGCTATGTATTCAATCAGGCCAAGAACTGGGCCAAGAATGGAGGCCTTCTGACTCCATAATTAATGTACAGATCTTTAAGCTTCTATTATGTGTAGTGGCTACCAAAATGAGTAAGATAAATTATTTGCTTTGTAAAGGGTAAGCCTAGTGTGGTCATTATAATGCCAGAAAAATATATTTATAAAGGTTTTACAAAGTATTTTTTCACATTTCATGTCAGAATTAATAAAACTATACCATGAGAAGAGGGACCTTCTTCACAGTTCAGTAAGGAACATAGTGGGGATTCAACTCACCAGGAACTCCAGAAAAATCAAAGGGTTTTTGTTACCTTGAGTATTCCAGTCCACCAGGAGCAGTGGGGCCTTTAGGAGGGTGCAGGACTCATGACAAGAGGCAGAGTGCCCATCAGATATCCTATGTCCCAGAAAAGAGTGGCACCCACCTCTCAGCTGTCTGGACTTATTCTTGGGCAAAGTTGATAATCTCTTACCCTCCTCCAAACCTCTGATGGTTCTGGTCCTGCTATTGCAAGGGAGAGGTAGGAGCCAGCCTAACACAGCTCACATACTCAGTATCTTATCTGATCTCCACAAACCTGAAAGGCAAGTTTTATTCCCATTTCACAGACGACAAGACAATGGATCCATAACTGCCTGGTTGATTCCTCCAGCTTCGAGTCCCAGAGATAATGTGAGTTTTACACATAATTTTACATCCCGACAACGGGAATTTGAAGTGTCTCCACCACCATCATAAACTCACTGAACAGTATTTTGATTACTTGGTATATATTTTTCTACTTTTAAAAATATTTTATTATTATTACTTATTTTATGACAAAGTAATGTGTTTTTTAGGGAAAATGCACAGATAAGAGAAAGGATAATCTCCTCCGCTGTCACCACACAGAGAAAAATATCATTTCTCGTTTGATCTACTGTGCCATAATTTTCCCTGTGCATGGATGTATCATGTAATTTTTTTCCAAAAATAGGCTGATGCTGTATATGCAGTTCTGAAAACTGTTTATTATTATTTGTACAATGTACCATGACCATCTCTCCCATGCACGTGGGTGAAAATCCCCTACTGAAACAGAGAGCACTGTGTAGTTGGATCAAAAGGCTGCTTGGTAACAAGGGTGACACCTACAGCAAAGTATCAGCATAAAGTTAAAGCACATCACCTGGCAAATGCCTGCCAGGGAAAGCAGGGTTGGCAATATTTCCATCAAAGAAATCAGATTTAAAAGCCAAAGGCATTAAACATATGGACCATCTTCTAAGTCTTTCTGGCCCCTACCTCCACCCCTTACTCCCCTGACACCCCGTTGGCCCCTTGGGACAAATGGATCCTGTACATCTCTTTGCATCCAATGAAAACCACCCGTTTTCTGTTTTTTCCTTAGATCTTCCTGAGCCCTTGACACATCTCCACATTCTCTCATCTCCTCACTGCCCAAATGCCTTTCCTGTAAGTCCTCTTGATAGTCTTTGGGGGAATCGTCAGTCCCCCTGTCCGTTTTTCGTTTTGCTTTCCGGGGCACATAATCTTCAGCTGGGCGCTTTTCAGCAGCCCGCAGCTGGCTCTCTGGCTTGGCCTGGGGTTCTGGCTTGGCCTCACCGTGTGCTTCTCCCTCACCTTCGGACTTGTTATGCTTTTCTTGTTTTCCTCCATCATCTGGCTGTCCCTTGTCCTGGCGCTTTTCCTTGTGCGCTGGCTTCCCCTGCACATCTGGCTTTTCTTCCTCATCTGACTTTCCTTCATCTTCTGTATCTACTTCATCTTCTGGCTTTTCCTCACTTTCCAGCTTTTCTTCCTTTTCACTGTAGAGTTTTTCCATGTTGAGATGTCCCCTCCTTTGCCTGTCCTAGGAGGCAAAGAGGAGACAAGAGGCTGGGTGCAGGTCGTGATAGTACTAGCTTTTATGATGTGGGGGTTTCCTCACCGGACCCCACCTTCCAGGTGCACTCCCACCCATATATTCTTTTTCTCTTCCTTCCCACTCCACACATGTTTGCATGAGCCAACCTTGCAGAAACTCCCACAAGTATTTCTTCCTGCATTTGAGTGGAGCATGTTGAGAAGTGTGTATGAACAGATCTGGACCTAAACTTTGCTCTGGCCTTGGCTACACCCATAACAATTTTAACTGGGTAGCCCCCAATTGCAGCTCTTACACTGAGCTGCAAGAATCCTGGCTGGTTTCTTTTTTCCCTTGCCTACAATTGTAAGACTTACAGATCTACAGACACAACAGCAATGACCAGTTCTCAGATTTCAAGGATTCTAATATCCTCAAGAGGCTTCACAGATGCCACACCTTCAACTCTCACTTCCTTGTTCTCCTCCACTATCCTCACCAGCCATAAAGAACCATGTTCCCTTAGGGTCCTGATAAAGGGCATGTATTCTGAAACTGCAATAGGAAAACTTGGAGAAAGTTGGCAAGTAGTGGCCTTTTCCAACTTCTGCTCAGATGTAAGTCATTCCTACTCCCAGGGTCCTGGGGTAGTTTCCCTCTTCCACTGACCTGCACTGGTCCTGCAGGTCTTTGCTTTTCTTGTCTGGGTTGGTGCTTGCAACCACAGACTCGAAGACCTATAGAGAGACAGAGGACAGATGGTGACTGAGGGACTGAGAAGTGAATGATTGGCAACAGGGACACTGACTCTTTGGACTCTAGTTGTCAAAACTTTCCCAACTCCTGCCACCCCTTGCCCTTTTCCCTTGTGTCTCTGACCCCCCTCTACAGTCCCTCCATAACAGCTTCCATTTTTCTACCACTGGGCAATGGCAGAGAAAATTTTTTTCCAAAGTGTTTCTATGTTTCTGAATCCTCTTCCCAAAATTCTATCTCACTTTTTCTTGAACTAAAATGAATGAGATGCAGAACAGTGGTGTTCAGAAGGCAGATCCTGCTGTGCTCAGGTCTCTGCCTTCCAAACTCCCCACCCCAGGGTGCCCACATAGCACAAAGCCCATCACCCCATCACTTCTCTGAAAATGGTGATGACAGAGTCAGGATGCAGGGCAGAAATGTCCAAGAGCATTCCTGCCATTCCCCTCCCCTCTCCACATACACAGAAAGGACACATTTTCCTACAACGCAAGAGACAATTTATTTCCAAATTCAGTAAAAATTTTGGCTTGTGTTGCCTCCTCTCAACCCTCCCTAGTTCAGAAGCTACTCCTCAGAAATAGGAGCTGGTCTCCAGACTGAACCTCTATCACCCTCCTCAGCAGCACCTCGCACCCTCCTCCAGCCCAAATCCAGCTCCAAAATGGACTGAAGGTGGGGGAAAGATACAGAGGGCGCAGCCCAGACCCTTGCGGGGGTCCGCCCCATCCCCCAACCGGAGATCTCAGGCTGTGCTCTCTGCCAGCCGCCCTGCAGGGATCAGGCCATTTCTTCGCTGTCCTCCTCCCCTGGCACTCTCCCTCCATCAGTCATATCCCCATAGCCTGCCTCATAGGACATCCTAATTGGTACTCATTCTCAACCTCTGGCCCCTCTCCATCTCCTCCCACCAAGCCCTCCATTTCTTGCACCAAACGATGGACGTCGGGGGAGGGGTAGAGAGAATTCAGCCCTGGACCCTCTCTGGTGTTTCCCCTCTGCCACCCCCACCTCAGGGGTCAGCAGTGGATTTTTAGCTTCCCAGAAAGATGCCTCCTTCTCACATTTCTTTCTGCCGTCAGCCTGCACTTATCCACAGAAATAAGAGAGGGTACCCAGACCTCTCCTACACTCACTCAATTTTCTGCGCCAAAATGAATGGGGGTGAGAGGGAGGTGACATTTGTAAAGCAGACCGGATCCTCTAGCCTCTGTCCGTTTCCACCCCTACCCCGGGTTCCCCCCACCACACACACACACACACACACACACACACACACACACACACACACGTCTTGTACCGACCTGCAGGGCTATAGGGCAGTTGACCCCTCTGTCCCTCAGTCTGAAATCTCTTTTCCTCCACGGAAATAGGGAACGAGTACCTGGAGGAGAGGGACTTCTGCACACGTCGGCTCCTGATCACGTGAGGGAAACGTCACCAGTGGGCTCGGGTCCCTTGTTCCCCTCTGACCAAGAGAAAGTGCGTCAGGAGCTAGCCCACTTCTTTTCTTCACTATCCCCCTTCCCCTCGCCCCCCTTCAGTCTCCTATCCTCACCGCTTGAGACCCTGTCACTCATTTTAGCCTTTGTTAATCCCAGAGGTCAGCTGTGGCCCTTTCTCCCAGTGGTATGTGTTCTGTTTTATCAGGGAAGGGCTGCATCTTCTTCTAGGGCTACTGGACATTGGTACATCTCTGGGGATTTTTTTCTTTCTCTCCACTGATCTTGGAGGACCTATGCCTTGAATCTATTTCTCCACTCAACCATGGATGCTCATTCCTCCTGTTCTCTAGACTTTCACATAATAAGTACAGGGTGGATATGCACATAAGGAAGCAGGTAGTTGAAATAGAGGTTTTATTTTCTTCTATTTTTTAAATTTAATTTACTACCCTCAGCATAGGTTACTTTTTTTAAAGTTTAAAAGATTTTTATTTTTTAAGGCACTCAGATATTGAGGACCAACTTCTGCTATTACAGGATATTTATGTAAAAGGCATGTGATAGAATTGATACATCCTGGTACCTCTGCTCCTTGCTGAAATAAATTCTTGAAGTGCATAAAAGGAAAATGAGCTAATAAACATAATCTTATCTTTTACTCTCCAGTTTCTTTTTTAATGCTTCACAAAATTTACAATCACTTTAAAATGCCTTGGTGTTTTGTGGCATTTTAATTTTTTATAATTCTTTTTTTGGGCAAGATTTTTTTTTTTATTGTTGACTCTATTACAGATGTCCTCCATTCCCACGCTGCCTTTGCCCCCTTCCACCCTGCCCCCACACTTGCTAGGGCTTCACCACATTACTGGCTATGTCCATGGGCTATGCATATATGTGTACATATTCTTTGGTTCATCTCTTCCTGTTGTCTCCACCCTCCACCCCTTTGAAATCTGTCAGTCTGTTCTGTTTATCTATACTTCTGGTCCTATTTTATTCATTAGTTCATTTTGTTTTTTATATTCCACATATAAATGAGACAGTGTAATACTTGTCTTTCCCTGAATAGTTTATTTCTCTTAGCATAATAGTCTCTAGGTCCATAACATGAGTTACTCTTATAAGGAAAAATAATTAAATAAAGCTATTTTCATTTGGGGAAATTTTTTTAAATTTAAGATAGAGGGAAAAACCAATAAGATTCCAAAACTCTGAGTTCATAACATTACATTTTACTATACAGAAAATTTGATAGGCTACATACAAAATGTTTTTAATTTTTACAAATAGCTTGTTCTGTCATGTTTTACTAAAAATACATGTATTTAATTTTCTCAAACAATTGCTAAGTAGAATTGCTAGAATCTAGTGATTGACACAATATTAGTCTTGAAAATTTGACCTATGGCTATTTTGATTCACAGATTTAGCTGTGAGTCAAGACAGCTGAGGATATGAGGGATGCAGACATGATCTGATCTTCCCTGCTTTATCAAGAGGGAAGAGATATGCTGTGCCTTGATCCCTTCTCACCTTCCAGAGCCTCTTTTCCTTTGCATTCAGACACCTGACTCCAAAAATACACATGGAAAGGGGACCAAAATGGTGCCCTGAGTACATGCCTTTGGCTCCTTCCTTCCTTCCCCAAAATTCCCACAGAAGTAAATTAACTCCAGCAGAGATGGGAATGCTGTTCTGACAACTGGAAATCAAAACAGGTCTCTTCTGGACCCCTACAGCAGAGGGTTTCCATAAAGCCTGAAGAAGTGATTATTGTGGGGAAGGGGTCCAGACCTGCCTGCTACCTACCCTATTCACAGTGCCAGGTGGAAGTTTCCTTGACCCTGCCTACCACCTGACTTATGAGATGCAGCCTGCTGGATCTCTCAACTCCAGTATCTTCACTTCCAGAGCACCTAGAAGGAGCGTAGCCATGCTGCAGAGTTGCTGCCTTCCAGTCCACATCTCCCCTGGAACTTCCCAGCCAGGTTAGGCCAGTTGCTAAGGAACTCTGACATGCTGATCATACTGATTGACCTAAACCAGGTGTTTTCAACTGAGGAAGTCTGTACTCATGCTGACGTGTGTGTGTGTGTGTGTAAAGGAAGAATAGAATAAATACATTTTTACTAGGCATGTACTTTCTCCTGGGATAGGGTCTATTGCTTTCAGTAGATGCTGAAAGGGGTATGTAGTATAAAAGAACAATGTGAAGGCCAACTGGACTATGGAATATACTTTTTAAATTTTTTAAATTATAGTTTACATTCTATATTATTCTGTATCAGTTTCAGATGTACAGTATGGTGGTTAGGCAATCATGTACTTTACTGAGTGGTCCCCCAATATTTCAAGTGCCTGCCTGACCCCAGACATAGTTATAATATTACTGACTATATTCCCTATGCTAGAATTTACATCTCTGTGCCTACTCTGTAACTACCAATCTGTAGTTCTTAACCCCTTCACATTTTCCACCCAGACCCTCAACTTCCCTCTTCCTTTCCTAACCTCTGGAAATCACTAAATTCCATTTCTATAATTGTTATTTTTTTTTAAATGTTACATAAATGGCCCTGGCCGGTTTGGCTCAGCGGTTAGAGCGTCGTCCTGGGGTCCAGAGAGACCTGGGTTTGGTTCCCGCTAAGGGCATGTACTTCAGTTGCAGTTTATCCCAGGCCCTGGTTGGTAGTGCAGGTGGCAGCCACTCGATGTGTCCTTTTCACATCAATGTTTTTCTCTCTCTCTTCCTCTCTCTCCCTCCCACTCTATCTGAATAAAAAAATAGAAAAATGTCCTTGGGTGGGGATAAAAAAAAAACTTTTTAAATGTTACATAAATGAAATTATCATTTGAATGTTTTGACAGGATAATTTCCTTGAGATCTATCCAATTGTTACACACATCAATAGTTCACTCTTTTTTTTTATCAATTTATTTTTGTTACAGATGTTTCTCCTTTTTTCCCCATTGACACCCTCCTCCCCATCCCCCCCAGCCCATCCCCAGCATTGTTGTCCATGTCCATTGGTTATGCATACATGCATATAAGTTCTGTGGTTTATCTCTTCCCCCCCAACACCCCCTCTTCTGAGGGTTGTCAGTCTGTACCCTACTTCCACGTCTCTGGGTCCACCCTCTTCCTCAGACTGTTACGGTCATTATATTCCACATATAAGTGAGATCATGTAATATTTGTCTTTCTTTGCTTGGCTTGTTTCGCTTAGGATAATACTCACCTGTCCAGGTCACTCCATGTTGTCTCAAAGGATCAGAGATCTCTCTTACAGCTGCATAGTACTCCATTGCATATATGTACCACAGCTTTTATATCCACTCGTCTACTGATGGACAGTTGGGTTGTCTCTAGATCTTAGCTATTGTAAATAGTGCTACAACAAACATGGGGGTACATATATTCTTTCTGATTGATGTTTCAGGCTTCTTAGGATATATTCCTAGAAGGGGGATCACTGGGTCAAATGGCAATTTAATTTTTAATTTTTTGAGGTAACACCATAGTGTTTTCCACAGTGGCTGCACCAGTCTGCATTCTCACCAGCAGTGTACTAGAGTCCCCTTTTCTCCACACCCTCGCCAACACTTGTTGTTTGATCATTTGTTGATGGCAGCCTTTCTGACAGGTGTGAGGTGATACCTCATTGTTGTTTTAATTTGCATCTCTCTGATGATTAGTGATGTTGAGCATTTCTTCATGTCTTTTGGCCATTTGTATGTCCTGTTTGGAGAGGTGTCTATTTAGCTCCCCTGCCCATTTTATAATTGGGTTCTTTGTCTTCCTTTTGTTGAGTTGTATGAGCACTCTATGTATTTTGGCAATTAGCCCATTATCAGTTCATTCTTTTTTATCACTGAGTAGCATTCTATGATATGATTAAACCACCACAAGTTGTTTAATCATTCACTTGTTGCAGAACATTTGAATTTTTCCACCTTTTAATTATTACAAATAAACTGGTTTTGAACATTTGCATATGGGTTTGATTATATTCTGAACACTTTGATCATTATGAGATGATCCTATTTGATATTTTAAACAGGCATTTCCCCTGTTGAAGTGTAGCATGAGCACTGAGTGTGTGTGTATGTTTAGCTTCACCCTGAACACTGCAGACCTCACCCTGGCAAAAATGCAGGGATGGTCCACACTGCATCATAACAGATGTATAAAATGGAAGTTCAGCTCCCCTGTTGGCCCTGCTGACACTTTCTTGTTGAAAGTGAGGCATTAAGTGTTACCTTTGCCTCCAAGTAGGAGTGTACGATTGATCGACTCTGTACTGGGCTGTTTTCATCAAGGAGGGTGTTAAAGAGGGCTGACTGACACCTGCTTTTTGCTGCAAGGTGGCTCAGCTTCCTTTTTGGCCCTTCTCGCACCAAGGGACGAGAAGGGAAATGCTGGGTGCTGACTTGTTCCACCTTCCACCCCTTTGAATGACTTCTTGATATCAGGTGTAGACTCAGCTAGATCTTGCTGAACTGAGGAGGAGATGAAACCTAGTGGTTGCTGGTCTCACTTTGCATAGTCTTGTTAAATCCCATTGCTGGACCACTGTGACACTACTCTGAAGAGACAGTCAGAAGATTGTCTACATCATCTGGAGAAGATAAATTAGCTATTTTTCAGTCCTGCCAACACTATCTGGGTGACTCTCTGATTCTCCAGACCAGATACTGTTGGTAGGACCAGAAGGGAGCTAATCTATTTCTCCCTTCACTGCACAAATGATGCAGTGGTGAGTTAAATGAAGTGGAAGATCAGCTCCCTCATGCTCCCTACTGCAAAGTACAGGATTGGGAAGGAGTCAGGTTTTCTTTGACATTTTTTCTAGAGTATGGTAATTATTGACAAAAATGTTTTCTTTTTTAATCAGTAGTTTTTATTTTTATTTTAGCAAATTTTTTT